GGACGTCCTCCACGGCAGATCCTTAGAACCGACGCACAGCGCTTTAAAAAAAAAACTAGCGATTAGCTACGTTCTTCAAGCCAGTTACTCGCCCTCAGAGTGCGCCCAGATCTCCCCATACAACAGTCTCGAAGCTAGATACATGCTCAAGGCAAAATATCACTGGTGCTCATTTCTGTCAGTAGCCTTGCTGGAACTCTACTAGGTCATGATGACCAAAACCCCACGGCAATGTTTTGATCTCTGAATTTCAAAAAGCGTCAAGGATTATCCTAGGAGTTATATTCCAAAAGCAAATAATTGATCTCGGTCATCTTGGTCCTACCCTGAACATCAATGGTACGACCCACAATGTCATTCGTCAAGTCTTCGACGATCAAATATGTCAATTGTGGTCCCTGTTATCAAGACATATGAGAGCAGAAACTACCCATAAAGCAGGATCCCCGGTTATTCTGGAGGAAGCCTTCAGGGGAGAGGGTGAATTTCCACCCCTACCCAAGCGCGTGTTAGCCAGCACGCCCGAGATGACAGCCAAACGCCAGGCGAAGCCCACGGCCGATTGTGCTCTGCGGCATTCAGCCAGAAGCGATGGCATGCATGTTTAAAATGCTCTTCACATCCTTTTGTGACACTTTCACTCCCAGCCTGCCCTGGTGATTAACGAAGACTTCGCTCACGGCGTGATTTGAGCAAAACCAGCTACCAGCGGGATCTGCCAGGCAGCATCATCATTAATGCCCCCTCATACGTGGCGTTAATCAGATACGGCGCGCTCTATTGATCTGGTTTGATATCTGGTGGGACAAGATGAGCTCTCGCGTTTTGGATTGGCGACGGTCGTGTCCGAAATATAGCTTGAAGCAATGATATTATTTCACTAACAGCAGCGTATAGCACAGGTAGAAGCAAGTCTTGCGAGCAACAGGATGACGTGCAAACAAGTCAGTTTACTCGTCCAGTACCGGCGATGGATGAAGAAAGGAGTGCTGTGCATTACAGACAGCATAAGTCACCGGATTTCCATTGTTAGTGGCACGCGTAGTACGTGTGAGGGTATATGCTGGTGCTTCGTATACGCTCTTATTGGTACGAAAGGTGCGAGGATATAAACAGAGATCATGTCACTCTGCGAACACGTCTGGCAAAGGTTCTGCGTGACGTCATGGAGAATAGGACACTTTTCTCAATGGCCCAACAATGGCCCAGGACACAATGGCCCAGGTCCTAGATCACAGAATGAGTCTTACGACTCATTCTGTGATCTAGGACCTGGGCCATTGCAATTCAACTCAATATTTGAGTTGCTAGATAGAGAGAGAGAGAGAGAGAGAGAGAGAGAGAGAGAGAGAGAGAGAGAGAGAGAGAGAGAGAGAGAGAGAGAGAGAGGAGAGAGAGAGAGAGAGAGAGAGAGAGAGAGAGAGAGAGAGAGAGAGAGAGAGAGAGAGAGAGAGAGAGAGAGAGGAGAGAGAGAGAGAGAGAAGAAGAGAGAGAGAGAGAGAAGAGAGAGAGAGAGAGGTGAGAGAGAGAGAGAGAGAGAGAGAGAGAGAGAGAGAGAGAGAGAGAGAGAGAGAGAGAGAGAGAGAAGAGAGAGAGAGAGAGAGAGAGAGAGAGATAGAGGAGAGAGAGAGAGAGAAGAGAGAGAGAGAGAGAGAGATAGAAGAAGGAGAGAGAGAGAGAGAGAGAAGAGAGAGAGAGAGAGTAGAGAGAGAGATGTATGTACATATATGTATGTATGTATGTATACATATATGTGCATATACATACATGCATGATTGTAAAGGAACTTTGCATATAAATGGCATTTGCATCCCCTACACGTGGCGTAAATTTCTTGGCTGGCGCCATAATGTGTCCAGCAATACGGGCTGTTGGTGCAACTGATTCCCTTGGGCCGTTAGTTGCACTTGGCAGGCGTCACAGGCAGATGCTGGGTACCCAATCAACGTGCCAATATCGGCCCGACTGATGCTCGCGTACGCTAACGTCCAGCCGACATGCATGTCGGGCCGATGACAACCCGACTTTCGCCCGCACTTCAGCCGACGCCCCCCCCCCCCCCCCCCCCCCCCTCCACTCCATCTCTAGTTGACGTTCGTCCACTCTCCAGCGGACGTCCCCTGCTCTCTAACTGACGAACCCTCGCCCTCAAGCCGAACAGTTAAGTGGAAAGAAACATTAATTAGAACATTGAAATGCAACAGGTAAGTCCTGCGTTTGAGTGGCGTAGGCTAACGAACGTTTTGATATCATTACCTTGCTTTGCTTTTACATCCATTGTGTTTGAACTCAAACTAACTGCGACGCAGCTTGAACGAATCCTGCACCTTCAATCAGTTCTGAATAACACCGAGGTGGACGTACTAGACGCCATTACGTCATGACATCACTTTATATAGCCTGTACAATACCTATCTGATTTGGCTCGTGTTTCTGTAATGCACTGTCTTCCGTGATGTAAGGTACAATCACCATGTTAACGACACAACAAAGTGACAAAGCACCAGTAAAAATATATATGAAGCTTATTTTTGTTGCGTCAATTGTGGTTAACGAGTACTTCCATACGCATCTTCATCGTTTATTTTGTTTGTCGCAAGGACATTGAACAGAAAAAAGTCGGACGTGTCACGACATTAGCCTAACTGTCGAAAATGCGCCATTCCTTCACGCTTCTATTGCATCGTTCCATAATATCATTGCGATATAACGTAAAGAACCACACTTGTGATTCAGTCTGCCTTGTTAACCGGACAATGACCTCCACCGTCACAATGTGACATTTCGGGACATGTGACAAACGGACATAACTAACAGCATCTTTATCAGCAAACAACAGGATACATCCCTGGCTTTCATTCGGCTACTTCTCAACGCGAGTTAACGCTGTTTGCAAAGGCTGGCCTTGAACCGAGCACAGTCCGCGCCGGCGTCCAACCGCCTCCCGATCGGACAAACAAGCGGCCTGCCGGCCCGCAGAGCCAGGCCGAGGGTCCGGTCGCGTGGCCCCGGTCAACAGTTAAGCAGGAGTGCCTGCAGACTCCCCGAAAAACGAGCGGTCAGCCAAACACAACAGGTGCGCCATGAATGTCCAGACGACCGGGCGGCACAATACCAGGGCACAAGCCACGGTATCAGTATTTCATTTCTGCCCAGAGTCGGCTGGCTGGCGCCATAGTGTGTCCAGCAATACGGGCTGTTGGTGCTACTGATTCCCCTGGGCCGTTAGTTGCACTTGGCAGGCGCCACAGGCAGTTGCTGGATACCCAGTCAACATGCCAATATCGGCCCGAACGATGCCCGCATATGCCAATGTCCAGCCGACATGCATGTCGGGCCGACGTCGGCTCGACGTTCGCCCGCCCGCAGCCGACGCATCCCCGCTCTCCAGCCGACGCATCCCCGCTCTCCAGCTGACGCATCCCCGCTCTCCAGCCGATGTAGTCCCGCTCTCCAGCCGACGCATTCTCGTTTTCAAGCTGACGCATCACCGCTCTCCACCCGACGCATCCCCACTCTCCAGCCGACGCATCCCCGCTCTCCAGCCGACGGATCCCCGCTCTCCACCCGACGCATCCCCGCTCTCCAGCCTGACGCATCCCCGCTCTCCAGCCGACGCATCCCCCGCTCTCCAGCCGACGCATCCCCGCTCTCCACCCGACGCATCCCCGCTCTCCACCCGACGCATCCCCGCTCTCCAGCCAGCGTACTCCCGCTCTCTAGCCGACGCATCCTCATTTTCAAGCTGACGCATCCCCGCTCTCCAGCCGACATAATGCCCGCTCTCCTTCCGACGACGACCCCCCCCCCCCCCCCTTCATCTCTGGTCGACGTTCGCCCGCTCTCCAACAGACGTCCCCTGCTCTTTAAAGGACGAACCCTCGCCCTCAAGCCGAACAGTTAAGTGGAAAGGAGCATTGACTGGAACACTGAAATGCAACAGGTAAGTCCTGCGTTTCGGTAGCTTGGGCTAACGAACGTTTTGATATCTGCCTTGCTTTTACGTCCATTGTGTTTGAAGTCGAACTAATTACTACGATTCAGCTCGAACTGATCCTGCACCTTCAATCAGTTCTGAATAACACCGAGGTGAACGTACCAGAAGCCATTACGTCATGACATCACTGTATATAACCTGTACAATACCTATCCCGCTTGGCGCGTGTTTCTGTAATGCATTGTCTGCCGTGACGTAAGGTACAATCACCATGTCAACTACACAACAAAGTGACAAAGCGCCAGTAAAATACACACACACATATATATATATATATATATATATATATATATATATATATACATAAAAAGCTTATTTTTGTTGCGTCAGTTGTGGTTAACGGGCACTTCCATGCGCATCTTCATCGTTTATTTTGTTTGTCGCTAGGACATTGAACAGAAAAAAAGTCGGACGTGTCATGACATTGGCCTAACTGTCGAAAGTGCGCCATTCCTTCACGCTTCTATTGCACCATTCCATAATATCATTGCGATATAACGTAAAGAACCACACTTGTGATTCAGTCTGCCTTGGTAACCGGACAATGACCTCCACCGTCACAATGTGACACTTCGTGACTTGTGACAAACGGACATAACAAACAGCATCTTTATCAGCAAACAACAGGATACATTCCTGGCTTTCATTCGGCTACTTCTCAACGCGAGTTAACGCTGTTTGCAAAGGCTGGCCTTGAACCGAGCACAGTCCGCGCCGGCGTCCAACCGCCTCCCGATCAGACAAACAAGTGGTCGGCCGGCCCGCAGAGCCAGGCCGAGGGTCCGGTCTCGCGACCCCGGTCAACAGTTAAGCAGGAGTGCCGGCAAACTCCCCCAAAACCGAGCGGTAAGTGAAACACAACGGGTGCGCAGTGAATGTCCAGACGACCGGACAGTGCAATGCCAGGGGCCCAGCCGCGGTAGCGGCTTTTCATTTCTGCCCGCAGTCGTCGGAGAGTCACTCAGCACGCTCTTGATCGTGACGTCACAGAGTAAAGACTTGCCGAGAGTGGGATAGTGTCGGTGGGCTTATCCGCAGCACACCGGCGCCAGCGGCGGCTCACGTGAGTTGGATTACCCGGCACTCGGTGCCCTGTGGATCTGCCAGAGCATTTATCGAAGGACGGACTCGCTGGTTTATTAATCAATCACGTCAGCGGTGTCGTCTTTGGTGTTAGGCTTATCACGCCGGGGTAGCGTCTGGGAAACCAGAGGTACGGGGTTCGATTCCAGGCGGTGTCCGTCCTTCCTGCCAGAGGGAGAGGCAGGCGACGCCATATAGCCTCAGCAGCTGAGTGCGTCGTAAAGCCCCAGTGACATGACAAGGTAGCTACGTCATCAAAACATGCACGCATTGTACTCGCGTACTCCGGCATGGAGCCACCCCCCTATCAGCCAAACGGGTGACCGGCCGACACGCGGAGCCAGGTCGAGGGTCAGGTCGCGTGACCCCGATAACCCCTCAGTGGTCAAGAGTCGGAGACTAATGGCGTACCAGCCGAGTTATTTTCAACTTGTTTTGATTACAGCATTTTAAAAGTCATGAACGTAGCAGGGGTGTATGTACCACCCGCGGGAGTTGGTCGCCAGGTTTCAGCGATGCTTGGCGCAGAGCAGCGGCCGTCCACGTCTAATCGAAGCCCTTTGACATGACAATATGCCAATAATGCAGTTGATAAATGCAGCGCCATCGTTATTGACGGTCACTCAAACTTCTCAGCGAGGTCTCAGCTACGGCAGTCGGGTCAACGGCGTAGCTCGTTACCTTCAGCTGCGCTCGAGCGGCCGGGTGAGCAGCGTAGCTCGTCACCTCCACGTGCGCCCGAGGCCGGCGGTGTCGCCATGCGCTGGCCGCTCCTGCTGCTGGCGACGGTCTTCTACGCGGCGTCGACCGTCGCCGCCGCCGACAACCGCCCCAACTTCCTGGTGCTGCTCGTCGATGATCTCGGCTACGGCGACATCGGGCCGTTCGGCAACACCAGCATCCCCACGCCGAACATCGGTTAGTCCGCAGCTGCAGGGCTGCCCCCCGGCGGGCAGATCACGTGCTGATTGCTTACCGAGCCTGGTCCATGTCACCATGCCATCGTGCCCACACGATTCCTCACAAGCACACACGAACGGGGCAACCATTCCCTTGCTGTGACTGACTGGTCTGTGACTGCGTCGAGACTGTGACTGTGAATGTGTCATTGAGCGTTCCATCACAAGAAGTTGCTGGTATGCGATGGTGTGGAACACACCATGGTTCCAGATAAACATGGTCCAGACCATGCGACCAAGCAGCCCTTGTCTAAAGAAAACGATGGGAGTGGCTGACATGCTATCATGGCATAGTTGCCACGGACTGGAGATTTACAGGTGTTTTAGACGGTACTTGGTACTTTTGACGCATGAACGTGATGCCTAGGGTTGAAAACACCTGACAGGCAGTGCGTGAGCACACGCTCTGAGCCTCTGCCAGAGTGTCGCATCAGCGATCATCGACAGTCAGAGGTCACCGAGAAAGGAAAACAGATGAGAAAGGAGTCACAGTGGCTTGCCTTTACTTCACACGCGCCCGGGTGGCCGGCTAAATACCCTTCACACGGGTGGGGGGTCAATTTGACCCGCCTGAGATCTCGGGAACTAAGAGAGCTAGAGACACCAAATTCACAGGGTGTATTCACCTGTACGTGAACCCACTTAGGTAGGTCAAAGTCTTGAGATTTTTTGGTCACGACCTTCGGGTCAAATAAGATGAAATACCAGGATGGTCTCCAAAGTGTCCCCAGAACCTAGCTAGCTGTTCCTAAGCAAAGGATCACATGCTCAGTTAAAGTCAGTGACCTTGTTTGACCTTTTGAAGGTCATTATGACCAAACTCCTACGAGACTGCTCTGAGCTTTGCATTTGGACAAGCGACAAGGATTATACTAGGCACTATGTTTCTAAAAACAACATGTCAACCTGGATCATTTTAGGTCGATGACCTATTCTGACCTGTAAAAAGTCCATGGGAGATGTATAATACGGTTCCTGCTATCAATAATTCGAAATGAGCACCAGAAACTATCCCATGCAACAAGTTCCCAGAGTATACAAGAGGCTAGTTTGGCCTTGGCCTAAACTTTATACCTGACTTAGGTCAACGTAATTTGCTCATTCAATATTTTTGTTGCCTAAGAAAGCATCCCAGAGATGTATGGCTTCATCTAACATTTCGTTGTTGCAACAGATTGAACGATTCTTTAGAAATTGACTTCGCTGAAACCATGGCCTGACTTTGACATGCCATAGGTCAGTGACCTTGCAAGGTACGTCTAATTTTGTGACGCCAAACGATCTGTTTATTTAATTGGCTACAGCTATGCAAAATTTGGCGCGGCTGCGCCGCGCCGTTCGGAAACCACTTCTGGAAAAACCTTCGGGGGTCAATTTGATTCCCACCCGAGCGCGTGTTAAAAGTGCAATGCCAGACACGCATCTTGGACATGATGTTGTGTTTGGCTGGGAATGGAGCCTAGTTCGGCTAGCAATAGCCTTTTCCATGACTAGACATGAAGGAGAGAGGCCAGTGGCGCCACAAGACTACGGTCATCTGGGAGTCCTCCACTACTGTGGTTTACCCTGCCCGAGGGACTTCCTTCGAACCATGCACTGAGAGAGAAAAAAAAAACACGCCTAAAAACCCCATCTGCAGGGTCGACCAAATCGCATCCCTGCGGGATGTCGTTCTAGGGAGCGGTTTCAATGACTTTTGATTAGTATTCAAGGAGTACTTTTACACCGAAGGGATTACACCCAACTAAACTCCAGTGCAGGGTCGGCCAAATCGTACCTCTGCACGGTGCCGTTTTGGGCAATGGTGTCATATTCCTTTACAGGAGTCTTTTAATACTCTGGTGGTTATCAATTTGACCTGCTTATGGTACTCTGAGTTTAAAACAAATAAACTGAGATTACGATGAAATCTGTAGATGAATCGCATTTGCTCACCTCGCATTCCCAAAATAGGTGTGATCAACAGACCGTCGCACCTGTTAGCTTGCGTTCCTTTTGATAAGACAAACACAAAATGTGGACGGATCAGGGTGCATTTTGGTCATTAAAACATTCAAACCATGGGAGATCGGTCATTTGCTGAGCCAACTATCCAGCAAACAAAACATATGGACCAGAGAGTTAAATTACAAGCCAGGTCAGGTTCGACACTTCAACTCATCCCTTCTTACTGCACCATTAGGCACTTTGCCACGCTGACCGCACCAAACTGCCCAGCATCAGCAAACCGACCACGTCGACTACAGGGCCAAACGGTCTTAGCCATAAATGAAAATTCGGCAAAACTGGCCCAACTCGACAAAAAATAACTAAAAACTCCACAAAAATTGACTATAGCGACTTGGTCACATTGACATTCGAACTGCGAGATCAGCTTGCAGTTTAACAGGTTGATCGACATCACCAGCCTCGTAAAAAACCACAGGAGACCTTAAACACTATAGCTGAATACACGACAACCAACCTGGGTCGACCAGTTGGTACACCTCCGGAAAGTGCAAAGGTCGTGCTGTGGGTCGGCGACAGCGTCAACTGCGATCCATAACCCGCGCGTTCAGCGCGGAAAAACCCTGGCATATCAGTAGCTTCCGCTACTAAAAGAGCCTTTTCAACACATCTCGGACATGGTATCACGTTCAAACCCGGCCCAGACAGTCAGCCCCTGACTTGACAATCGTTAAAAATCAAAATGGCCTCTGGGTTGTTGATGTGAGATCCAGCAAGTGATTCCCAGTGACGTCACCGTGGGTAGTGGGAGCACCACGGATTTTGATTTCGTGGGGATGGTGGGAGCAAGGGTTTCCAGGGGCTTCCTGAACAAAATGAGCCTCTTCACAGAGAGGCCTTTCGGGTGGTGTCATATTCAAGGGGGATGGGGCAATGAGTGCATGCTCCCACTTATCGGATTGTAACAAGCTTCGCATCTAAATACATCAGTGTCGATAGTTGCAGAATTTAACGATGGAGGCGCTCTGATCATCTAGCCAAGGCTATTGCTGTCCTAAAATACGCCTACCTGTTAAAGAAAAGAGCCTCCTGATGTATACAATGGGATGTTGCTGATTCACGAAAATGTCTTTAAATCTGGCCAAGAGGCATTGCTATCCCAAAACAGAGAATCCTGATCAAGAACTCGACCTTCTCATGCACGGAATGGCCCTTCTCTTCCAGAAATCGGGCATCCTGAATGTAGAGCGTGCCTTCTAATGCAGAACAGGGCCCCCTAGTTCGTAACAGGTGCCTCCCGAGCCGGGAAAGAGGCTTTTTAACACAATATTGGGCCTACTGATTTAGAAGATGAGTTAGCCCTTCCATAAAGGTTGCCTTGTGGTCCTGAAAACGGGTCTCCTGATGCGGGAAAGCGTCTTTTGAGCTACATTTATACTCTCTAGCTTAGTTATGGGGCATCATTGCTTCAAATTTCGGTATCTAAAAGTAGCCACGATGCCTGCAGTTTGGGGAAACAAGGTTTTCAATGGCCGATCATTCGGTGTAAAAATCATTTAGATATGGCTTGTCAGGTCGCTGAACTATGGCAGGTTAAGGGTAAGCCTTGGCTGTCAGCGAAGACAATTCCTAGGAAAGCGTTCGAGGTGATGAGAAACGGAGTATTGGACGAAATCTTTGGGGATAGTCATTTTGACGATTAAACTTAGTTTTACGACTATTCTATTCAACATGGGTCAGATATGATGGTCTGACTGTTGGCAAGACGAAATTGCTTTCCAACTGGGAGATCACTTCATAAAATGCATTTTGATGTTCGATTCGATTCCTTGACCTTAGGGGCGTGAACTCACGTGTTACGGATCTCATAAAGGCCAGAGGGGATTAGAAGTCTAGAATAGCCCCGTCAGACTCTTCTTGTTAGGAGCATACCTTCTAATATAATTACTGACACTTAACTAGATTCAAAATTAAAACTCGTAGGTTCTGGACAACATGACATTCTGAAGGTTGAACAGGGTTAAATCAGGTAACTGACCTGGAGCAAACACCAATGACCTTTCGTCTAGAGGAGGAACCTCGGCTTAAGGTGGTTGTATGAGGTAGTCTGACGGTGTTTCGGACATGGATCTGGAATTTGACCTTGTTTCATTGTATCTGACTCCAGCGTCGTGACCTAAGTGTCCCAGACTTTTGCACAAGTACTTTACACATCGACCTACCTATCCTGAGAATTTCATATCTACCTTTAATAATCTTTGAGATTTCAGTGTGGTCGAATTGAGCCCGCACCACCTACCCTACCCGAGTACCAGTCAATAGGCTAACCGGGCGCATGTGCTCAAAATGTCGTGGGCTTCCCCACTAACAGACCTAAGTCTAATGAAAGACATACAACCCAAGACCTAAAGCCCTCAAGTTTCTGAGCAACACTCCAGCGAATGTTTGCAGGCTTTTTCGTGCAAACTTCTTTAAAACGAGCTCGGGTGGGGGTCAAATTGACCACTCAAATGTTTTCCGGAATGATTTACGAACGGCGCAGCATAGCCGCGACAAATTGTCCATAGCTTTGGACAACTGAATAGCAGATCGTTTGATATAAAAAAATTCCGATATGCCCTGTGCGGTCGCTGGGCCACGGCAGACCAAAATCAGGCTATGGACTCAGCGAAACCAATTTCTAGAAAATCGTTCATTTCGATGCATAAACGAAGTGTTGGACAAAGCCACACAGCCGTGACATACTTTATTAGACAACAAAACAGTTAAATGAACAAATTATATTGACCTAGGATCAGGCAATAACGACAGACCAAGGTCAAAAAACCAGCCTGTTTTATTACTCAAGGGCTTGCTCTAAGGGGATTTTCTGGCGCTCAATTTCTCAGGCGCTCAGGCCTTCTTGCGCTCAATTTCTAACAGAAGCTGCGCTATACATCTTCCATGGACTTTATAGCCACTACCCACTAGTACATGTTTGATCAGTACATATTTGACTGTGTCATGAAGCAA